AGGGAGATAGTGAAGGACAGGAAAGCCTGGTGTGCTGCAGTCCATGGAGTCACAGAGAGTCAGACACAACTTAGCAACTGGACAACAACAAAGAATAGGCAAATTCAATAAGACTCGGTGGAGTCGAGGTGACTAGAAGCTGGAGGAGGTAAGAACAAGCAGTTACTGTTTACTGGGTACAAACCCTCCTTAGGGGGAGATGAAAAAAAGTTCTGGAGACGGAGAGTGATAATGATTGCATATTCAGTAATTGTACTTAATGCCACAGAGTTGTACACAAAATTGTTACAGTGGTGACTTCTATGTTATATTTTTGTTGCTGCTGTTCAGTCACTAAGTTGTGTCTGACTCTTTGCGACCTGGACCCCATGGACTGTAGCCCTCCAGGCTTCCCTGGCCATGGGATTTCCCAGACAAGAATACTGGAGTGGGTTGCCATTTCTTCGTCCAGGCGATCTTCCTGACCCAGAGATCAAACCCCAGTCTCCTGCACTGGCAGGCAGATTCTTTACCACTGAGCTGCCAGGGAAGCCCCATATATAATTTACTATAAGGCATCCAAGTGGGGAAGTTCAGAGAAAAAGCCAGACCCTGTAGAGCTCTTCCAACCTCATTCAAGCCAGGTATGGACACTGCCACCTGCCTTCCACCAGCCAAGATCCCCAGCCAACCAAATGCCCGGCTCTTGGCTGGCAAGTATTTTCCTCTTTCTTTTTTAAAAATTTTGTTCATTTATTTATTGCTTGTTTGGGGCTATGCTGAGTCTTCATGGCTGCACATGGGCTTTCTCCAGTTGCAGCGAGCAGGGGCTACTCACTACTCGCGTGCGCGGGCTTCTCATTACGGTGGCTTCTCTTGCAGAGTGTGGGCTCTGGAGTGCGTGGGCTCAGTAGGGGTGACACTCAGGCTTAGGTGGCCCACACCATGTGGGGTCTTCCCAGACCAGGGATTGAACCCTTGTCCCCTGCATTGGCAGGTGGATTCTTATCCCATGGACCACCAGGGAAGTCCATATATTCTCCACTTTCAGTTAGCTACTTCTGAAAATTCCCCTCACCAAGCGTTCATAGGGACCTCCCTGTTCCCCCTTTCCTAGTAAAGACTGGCCATGCCCGGCCAAATGGCCCACAGATAGATAGGCTTGCAAAATTGAGCAACTAAAATTACAGGATGCCCAGTTAGAATTGAATGCCAAATATTGCAATGTTTGTAATCTATTTACACTAGAAAAAAAATAGTCATTTATCTGAAGTTTGAATTTCACTGGATGTCCAGTGTTTTATCTGGCAATTCTATCTTGGGAGCCTCTTGTAGAAACCATCAAGGGCGGCAGGTCTGCTCAGTGGGACCTTTAGGCCACCAATCAGGACAGTCCATCAGCGATTGCATGAGCTCACATAAATGCCTAAGGCCACATCTCAGGGTTAATTTTGCTTGGAGCATGGGGGGTGGACCACCCACCTACCCACCAAATCCTGTCTGAGAACAGCATTAACAATGGCCTAGAAAGGAATAGTCTTTATCCTGCAACCCCATGGACTGTATCAGTTCAGTTAAGTTCAGGCACTCAGTCGTGTCCGACTCTTTGTGACCCCATGGACTGCAGCACGCCAGGCTTCCCTGTCCACCACCAACTCCCAGAGTGCTCAAACTCACGTCCATCAAGTCGGTGAAGCCATCCAACCATCTCATCCTCTGTCGTCCCCTTCTCCTCCTACCTTCAATCTTTGCCAGCATCAGGGTCTTTTCCAATGAGTCAGTTCTTTGTATCAGGTGGCCAAAGGATTGGAGTGCAGCACTTGTACAAATTGCGTTCACACACATGATCCCATAAGAGGCTTAAAGCAAGCAGAGTGAGTCGGCAGACAGGACGGAGGACAGAGGACAGAAGTTACGTGGCCTGTTTCATAAGATGATCAGACAGAAACTCAGCAATGGAGGTGGAGTCGGGGCCAGTAGCCCTGATTTCCAGCCCCTTTGTGGAGGACTAAGGCTTTGAAGGCCTGTACTGAGGGGACCATCCCCATTCTACCCCACCTGCCGAGAGCTAGACCCAGAGCCCAGGTTGGACAAGTGGGGGATGGCAGGGAGGGTCTGGATGTGGGGGTCTTTACTGCCTGTGGGTCAGGGCCTTTTCCCCATCTGTCTCCAGGAGGATGGAATCCCAGGGCTGCTCGGCGGTAGCGAGAGTTCAGAGGACCTCAGCCTGGACTTGGGGGCCCTTCAGGGCAGTGAGTATCTCCAGGACCTGGGCCTCGAAGTCCTTTCACACAGCCAGCCTGGGGGGGCCAGGGGCAGTGGCCCCCCTAGCGAAGAAGCCAGAGGAGAAATGCTCCTCTCCAGCGCTGCGGGGTCCCAGGGCCTTGCTCGGAGACGCAGCTGGGAGAGGTCGAGGAGCTGCTCCGAGAGCCGGCAGAGGTCAGCCCCCCACCGCGCCGCCACCTTCCTGGACACACCTTCCAGGACAGCCACACGCTGCTCCTTTCCCCCGCCACCACCTCTGGGTCACCTAGCTCAAGGGCCACCAGAGGTGTCTGTGCTATCAGAGGCAGCCCCAGAGACCCCTCTCCAGAGGTGCACACATGCGTGTGGGCACACACATCCGTGTGCATGGGTGAGCATGCACACGCTGAAGGAGCGTGTGCCAGCCCAATCTGGAGGCTTTGTGAAACCAGCAGGCATGCTTGGACCCAGATGTGCACACTTGCCCTCGCACACTGGGGGTACATGCCCACACTCAACACACAGGCATGCACCCTCCCCTGCTCAAACCCAGAGACACCTAAATGTGTCCCTCGCATATGCAAGCACAGAACCACAGATGCGCTTCACCTCGAAACACAATGGGTGCTTGGCATCACCCACACAGTCCAGTGGCAGCCCGAAACAGTGGAGTGCTTTAGTTGTGGGGCCCCCGCCCCCTTTTCTCCCTCTACCCCTCACATGCTGTGTGCTCAGCCACTTCAGTTGTGTCTGGCTCTTTTGCAACCCCGTGGACTGTAGACCACCAGGCTCCTCTGTCCATGGGATTCTCCAGGCAAGAACGTTGGAGTGGGTTGCCATGTCCTCCTCCAGGGGATCTTCCCGACCCAGGGATTGAATCCTAGTCTTTTATGTCTCTTGCATTAGTAGGCAGATCCTTTCCCATTGCGCCACCTGGGAAGCCCCCACCCCTCACAGTTCTCCCCAGATATTAATTTAGTCTGTGTAAAAACACAGTGGACCTGTGATGCAAATGGAACTTCAGCATCACATCCTCTAGCTGGGTTCCCCATCCACCCCCCTGGTACTGGGAGATCTGGACCACTCTCTGTGCCCTGCTCCCATCATAGGACCACCCAAGGGTTCCCCCAGGTCCCTGTGCCTCGAATGCTGGAGCTGGGGCAACAGCCCAGTGGAAGAGACCTGACTCCCTCTTGTTCTCCACCAGGCTCAGCACCGAATCCTCAGCTATGAACGAGGGGCCCTGTCTGCCTCGAACCCTGGCCAGCCTCGCTCTGAACCTGCCAGGAGAGGGCCTGCAGGCCTGGACCCAAGGGTGTCTGCCTGGGGGTGGAACCCCTGCAGAGCAACCAAGCAAGGTTGGTGCAACCCCCAACCACCCTGGTTAATAACACAACTATGCGCCAGGAGCTGGCTCTGTGGGACTCAGGGGTGCCTTACACGTAGCTGGGGGGACTGACCCATCATGGCAGGTGTTGCCCAAGACAGAGGAGTCACTGAGTCCTCAGACTCCAGCCCAAGCCTGAAGGTCCTTTGCTGGCCTGAGATCCTTGGCTGTAAGCGTCATCCCCTGGGCTAGGGAGCTCAGGCTTGTCTCTGAATCTTTGCAGCTGGGTGGAAGCCCTGTCTGTGACTGAACTTTGCAATGGAGAAGAGCTCGTCTCAGGCCTGGGATTTTAGCCCAAAGCTGGAAAATGCACACCTTGGAACTGAGGCTTCTGCCTGGGGCATCTCTGCCCCTGACCATGACTGGGGGCGGGGGGTGTTTCTGGCCGTGGCTGGAATTTGTGGCTCAGAATTCCAGAACTCCAGCCCACAGCTGGGGGGTGGTCCTTGGCTGGTATGGTCCTTGGCTCCAGCCCTCAGCTGCTATGGAGACCCATTCCTGCTCCCGTACCCCAAGGCTGAGGGTAGCCCCTGTCTGCAGCTGGAGACTGGGGACCCTCGACCCAGGGAAACTGCCTGCAACCCAGGGTGCCTCCAGGCTTAGCGAGATGCTTATTCCCTGCAGGAATGTGACAGCCCCGAAAAAAGAGTGAGGTCACGGTCTGTTCCCGTGTCCTTCGATGAGATCAGCTCCCTGGAAATCTTTCCAGCTTTGGAAGTGCCGTCTCCAGCTGTTCAAGGTAGCCCAGCCTGGGGATTTCCTTCATTCAAACAAGTGGGGTAGGGGGCTTCTTCTGGAGGAGGCTTGGGGTCCCGCCGGCAGGAACTGGGCAGAATGCTGGGGGAGGGGTGACATGGCTCCTCCATCATCTGCCCTTCCCCCTCACCCTCCCAGGGCACTCTCAAGCCAAGGTGGGCACAATATTGGAATGACCGCCAGGACTCTCTTGCTCCTCTGATTCTGTCTCTTTCTTTATCTCCTTCTTTTTCTCTGAATCTCTATCTGAAGAGTTTGTATCCCTCTGATATCAGAAAGACCTACAGGCCAAATCAGAAGCTACCACTTTCTTTTTCTTTTTTAATTTTTATTTATTCATTCATTTTTTGGCATCACTGGGTCTTCATTGCTGTGTGCAGGATTTCTTTAGTTGCAGCAAGCAGGGGCTACCCTTCAGTGTGGTGCATGGCCTTCTCATTGCAGTGGCTTCTCCTGTTGTGGAGCACAGGCTCTAGGGTGCATAGACTTTAGTAGTTCTGGCACGTGGCTTAAGGGTTCTAGAACACAGGCTCAGTAGATGTGGCGCACGAGGCATTCCGAGGCATGTGGAATCTTCCTGGACCAGGGGTCGAACCCATGTCCCCTGCATTGGCAGGCAGATTCTTAACCGCTGTACCACCAGGGAAGTCCAGGAATTTACCACTTTCTAGCAAGTCTCTGAACCTCCTCCACTTTCTCTCTAAGAAAGACAATCAGAGTATCTCCTCTGCGTCACTTTGAGATTAAAGTTCACCGACCTAATATGTGTGAAGCGTTTTGCCCTTTGTAAACTCATGACACACCCGGGACGCTTCTGTCCCTGGCTCTCTGTCCTCTTTACAACTCTCCCCCACCCTGACAATGGCAAGCCCCATCTGGACTGGCTCCAGCTCTGCAGGGGTGCATTCAGGGGTTGTATGCCAGGCTGGTCCTGCCCCAGGGCACCTTTCACACCTATATCTCCTGGGGTGGGGACTGCTTCCAGGCCTGGACCCTCCGGTGCTGGAGTGCATGGAAAAGGATCATGTGGAGCCGAATCATGTGTGAGTGTCTGCCCCTTAGGTGGGGGAGGGACCCCCCAGGACAGCCAAGGGAGTCAAGGTTTGGGAAAGAGGAATGCAGGGATGTAGCATCACTGGCCATAAAAGTGAGCAGGGCCAACCACAGTCCCCCTCTAATAACCTCAGTCTCCTCTCCCACACCGACTTTCTCCCAGGCACCTCAGAAGGTTCTTGACAGCATCAGGAGAGGGTATGGGGCTCCCAGGTAGGGGTCGCATCAGGACCAGGGCCGAGTCAGGCATTCACAGCTTGTTTGGGGGAATGTCTGTCATTGGGGGCAACTGTGGACTGTTTTTATCCGACCCCCTGCTCAGGTTGATTGTCCAGCAGGTGCTTGAAGAACTCCGTCAGTACCATGGGTAAGTGGATAGGGGGCTAGGTGTGGGGGAACAGGTGTGTGAGACAGATGTAGAAGACAGGTGGAGGGGGACGGGGTGGACAGGAATGGGGGATGCAAGCAGGGAACGGATATGGGAAGACAGGTGTGGGGACAGGTGGAAGAGTGGACAGGCAGAGGGGACATGTGTGAAGACGGGGAGAAATGGGAGGAAAACGATGACTGGAGAGGTGGGAGGAGGCACAGGTGTGGGAAGGACAGGACACAGAAGCAAGCTGCCACCAACCTTGCCGTACCTTTGTACAAATGGGAACAGGTGGCCCTTTCCCAGAATGCTTCCATCTGTTGGAAAAATCTTCCCGACAAGTTGATTTTGTTTGACCAAGACCTGTTGCTACCCCCTGCTGGAAAACCCATCACAATGACCATGTATCCAAGCCCACATGTGGAGGGATGACAGGATCCCCGGTCATGGGCTGCACGCCTGTCCACGGAGCCCCAGAAGAGAGGGACAGATGAGGGGGCTCCTAGGGGGAAGGGCTGCCGACCCTGGTGTCTGTCCCCTCTGACCCTGCAGGGCCCGGCAGAGGGCTCGCTTGTCGGTCTGCCCTGGAGGAGCAGCTTCCAACCTCACCTGGTTTGAGTTCCTGTCTGAGTGAGTACCCAGAGCTGTGGGCGGGGCCGGCAATGAAGTGAGAGGGCAGGGGCCTGAGATGGGCTGAGGGGTCGGGGGCCCCCACCCTCTTCCTGGAATCACCAGAGCAACAGTGAGGGCGGCAGGGGAAGACTTCTTGGAGAAGGTGACAGCTTGAGCTGGGTTCCAGTGGAAAAGTAGGAGTTCGCCAGTATGCTGAAATGAGATGGGGAAAAGAATTAGGTGCCTTCCACAGGAATGGTGCCGGGATGGGGCTGGGAGGAGGGGAGGGGAGTCAGCAAAGGCCAGATTGGCCCTGGGAAGCAGAAGTCCACAGCTGTGTGGTGACCACTGATGGTGAGCACAATCAAGGGTGCAGACCAGAGGCATGGAATCTCCCTCCAGGGACTCGATTCTGCAGGGGTTGGGTTTCTTACATATAATGACTAAATACGTATTTATTAAATGAGAGTGTTCTGGTCATCCAGGAGAGGTAAGATCTAGGGCTGGAGTGTTGGGGGGGAAGAGGGCAGGGGGATTTGAGAGACATCCCATGGGAAGAATGGACAGGGTTTCAGACTGATAAGATAGGAAGAGGGTGTGAACCAGAGGGAGGAGGCAGAGATGGACAAGGTCCATCAAGGTACCTCAAGCTTGAGACCATGTCACTTTCCCCTAGCCAAACCCAGTCCCCAAGTCCGCTGGAACTTTGCAAACCTCCATAAATGTTTTATATGTGTGTGTGTGTGTGTGTGTGCGCACGCATGTGTGCTCAGTCGTTCAATTGGGTCTGGCTCTTTGAGACCCTGTAGACTGTAGCCTGCCAGGCTCCTCTGTCCATGGGGTTTTCCAGGCAAGAACACTAGAGTGGGCTGCCATTCCCTTCTCCAGGGGATCTCTCTGATCCAGGGATCAAATCCGGGTCTCCTCCTTGGCAGGCGGATTCTCTACCACTGAACCACCTGGGAAGCCCTACACACATATGAAAGTGAAAGTGTTAGTCGCTCAGTCATGGCCGACTCTGTGACCCCATGGACTGCAGCCCACCAGGCCCTCTGTCCATGGAATTCTCTAGGCAAGGATACTGGAGTGGGTTGCCATGGCCTTCTCCAGATCTTCCTGACCCAGGGATCAAACCTGGGTCTCCCAAATTGCAGCAGATTCTTTTACCTTCTGAGCCACCAGGGAAACTCTCTCTCTATATATATATATAGAGAGAGATATCTATATCTCTCTCTCTCTATATATATATATATATACACATCTATATATATACATACTATATCTGTATGCAAACCATAGTATATACATATAGTGTGTGTGTGTATATATATAGTATATACATATAGTGTGTATATGTACTATATATATGTATGTGTATATATACAATTGCACTCAGGCTTACTGCTGCGCAGGCTCTCCTCTCATCATGCTGCTCGGGCTTCTCATTGCGGTGGCTTCTCTTGTTGCGGAGCGTGGGCTCTAGGTGCTTGAGCTTTGGTCATTGTGGCCCCCAGGCTCTATAGCACAGGTTCAGTCGTTGTGGCACAGTAGCTTCGTCGCCCCACAGTATGTGGGATCTTGCCGCACCAGGAATTGAACCGGTGTCTCTTGTGTTGGCAAGCAGATTCTTATTCATTATGTCACCAGGGAAGCCCGGTGAATGTGTCTTGAGTGAGTAAGTGAGTGAGAGGAGAGAGAAAGAGTTCAGGACCACAGCGAGGGTGGGACAGGATAGAGGGGCCACAGGTAGACAGATTCTAGATGGATCCCAGGAGTGACCTGCAGAACTGGCCAGAAGCGCCTTTTGGGTCTGCTGTAACCCTCCTCACCGAACTCTCCCCCACCTTAGGAGCGAGGACAGCATGGGGAAGACGGAGAGAAGTGACAGGGGCACCCGGGTGAAACGCAGCCTGAGCTCCCTGCGCAATCGAGTCACCAGGCAGAAGGAGAAGGTCAGAGGGCTGGGCCAGGGGTTGGGGGACCCTCTCTGCCTTCTCCAGCTTGCCAGGGTGTCCCCAGCCCCAGAGCCCTGTGATTCCAGGTGGGAATGGACACACAGGCTATTCTAAGGTCCACCTCTGTCTCCAACAGGGGAAGACCCCAGTGCATCAGAAGGACAAAGGTCAGGATGCGCGCGAGAGGAAAGAATGTATCAACGGGCACCAGCTGGCTCGAGGAACCTTCTCTGGCCACTCCAGCTGCCCTCTGTGTGGCAAACCTTTTCTGAGTTCTGGTGAGTCCAGTGGCCCAGCCTGTCGCCCTGGATGGCAGCCACTTTCTCTGCCTCACTTCCCCTAAATTGCTCCCATGTCTTCCTTCCATCTTTGCGTCCTCTTTCCAGTTCAGGCCAACCATTGCTTCCTGAAGGTCACCAGGAATCCATCCCTAAGAGCAGGGGGTATTTGGTTAGCTTGGACTCCCCCCCACCACAAGTTCTTTTTTAAAAAAATGCTTATTAATTCATCTATTGGCAGCACCAGATCTTAGTTTCAGCATGCAGGATCTCTAGTTGTGGCATGTGACCTCTCAGTTGCAGCATGTGGGATCTAGTTCCCTGACCGGGGATGGAACCCAGGCCCCCTGCCATGGGAGTGCAGAGTGTTAGTCACTGGACCACCAGGGAAGTTTGGGACTCCCAAATTCCCTTTAAGTTTCAGCCTTCGTTGTTGGCAAAATCCAGATTCAGGCAGTGTATTAGTTAGCTACAATCCAGCCAGCCTAAACCACAGAAATGCATTGTCTCAGAGTTCTAGAGGAGTTCAAGATCGAGGTGTCAGCTCCCTCTACAGGTGCTGGGAAAGGGTCCATCCCAAGCGTCTCTCGTGGCTTCTGGAAGTCTGATGGCTTGTGCCAACAGAGCTATGGTCTTCGTGTGGCGTTGTCCCCGTCCTCATGTTCACGCCTCATATTCCCCTTTGCTTAAGGATTAGAGTCAACTCTAACTCAGTATGACCTCACTGAATAAATACATTAGCAATAAGCCTATTTCCAAATGAGGCCACTTTATGATGCCCTGATGGGGCTTCCCTAGTGGCTCAGTTTGTAAAGAATCTGCCTGCCAATGCAGGAGAACTGGGTTCAATCCCTGGGTCAGGAAGATCCCCTGGAGGAGGAAATGGTAACCCACTCCAGTATATTTGCCTGGAGAATTCCATGGACAGAGGAGCCCCGAGGGTTATAGTCTGTAGGGTCGCAAAGAGTCAGACATGATTTAGCAACTTAGCATGCATGCAGGCATGATGTAGTGAAAGGGGTCAGGTCTGTAATATATGAATTGGAAGGAAAGAGAGAGGGAGAGGAGGCAGGATCAGACCATTAACAAGCAATTTCCTGCCTCCCAGCACTGTCTCGGGAATAACAGTCTCTGCTCAGGAAAACATTCTGTTTGTTTTGTTTAGTCGCTAAGCCATGTACGGACACTTTTGTGACCCCATGACTACAGCCTGCCTGGCTTCTCATCCATGGGATTTCCCAGGCCAGAATACTGGAGTAGATTGCCATTTCCTCCTCCAGGGGATCTTCCCAACCCAGGGATTGAACCTGCGTCTCCCACATTGGCAGGCAGATTTTTTACCACTGAGCCACCTGGGAAGCCTAACACAGAAATGAGGAAAAAGTTCTGGGTTCCAAAGGCCTTGGAGGGAGATGACTCTGGTCTTTTATGAGATTTAGAACTTTGCTTTTTTGACAAGGGGCAGAGAGGAGGCATTGGCAACTGCATGCTAGTTGCAAATTCAGGCTGCTGCAGGGTTCCTCCACCTTGGTCCTATTGCTCCTTGAGGCCTGGTCATTCTTTGTTGAGGGAGGGGAGGGCTGTTTTGTGCATTGCAGGATGTTGAGCAGCGTCCCTTGCCTCCACCCACTAGATGCTGTTAACACCTGCCTCATGAGTCATGACAACCAAAAATGTCTCTAGATGTGGCCAAATGTCCCCTGGGGGCTAGGATTGCCCAGGTGAGAATCAGTGGACGAGTGCAATAGAGAACTGGACCCAGGGTGGGCCATGCAGTGAAAGCGGTCCCTCCACCCCAGGGGCAGGTGCCTCCTCAAGACCTGAGCCACGGGTTTTGCATTTCTGCCTTGCCTGGCCCCACATGTGGGCATTTTCCTTCTTCCTCATTCCTCCCGTTTTCCGGAGTAGTTTTTGCTGGTGGCAGGCCTGTTGGCTGCTGCAGTCAGCAGTGGACCCATTTGGAGCTTTCTCTCCAAAGATCTCCAACCTGCTTTCTGACCCTGTGAAAGTTCTCTCCAGCGGAGGCCACCCAGACTTTGCAAAGTCTTCAGCATCTTAAAGTCCTTTTCAGCAGTAGGTGTGTGCTAAATTCACTTTAGTAGTGTCTGACTCTTTGTGACCCCATGGACTCTAGCCTGCCAGACTCCTCTGTCTATGGGATTCTCCAGAATACTGGAGTGGGTTGCCATGCCCTCCTCTAGGGAATCTTCCTTACTAGCAAGTGACTTCCTGTTTCTGCTGACTTCCTCATCTCTTCATCTGGGCGGGGTGGGGGTGAGGTCTGCTGGATACTGGGACCTCCCTGGAAGGCCAGGATCAAGCCCTCAGGGGCTCCATCTCAGGCATCAAATCCAAGGAGCAGGTGGGAAGTCGGCAGAAGGAAGGGTGAGGGCAGAGATCCAGAACTTGAGCCAGTACTGATTCAGTAGAGAAATGCATCCATGTTGATGCAGAGTTGAGTATTTTTAAATAAATATATAGATATATTCAAGCTACTGCACAATTACAGTCATCTCACACATTAGCAAAGTAATGCTCAAAATTCTCCAAGCCAGGCTTCAATAGTATGTGAACCATGAACTTCCAGATGTTCAAGCTGGATTTAGAAAAGGCTGAGGAACCAGAGATCAAATTGCCATATCTGTTGGATCACAGAAAAAGCTAGAGAATTCCAGAAAAACATCTACTTCTGCTTCATTGACTATGCTAAAGCCTTTGACTATGTAGATTACAACAAACTGTGGAAAATTCTTCAAGTGCTGGGAATATCAGACCACCTTACCTGCCTCCTGTGAAACTTGTATACAAGTCAAGAAGCAATAGTTAGAACTGGACATGGAACAACAGACATGGAACAATGGACTGGTTCAAAATTGGGAAAGGAGTACGTTAAGGCTGTATATTGTCATATTGCTTATTTAATTTATATGTAGAGTACATCATGTGAAATGTTGGGCTGGATGAAGCACAAGCTGGAATCAAGATTGCCAGGAGAAATATCAATAACCTCAGATATGCAGATGACACCATCCTTATAGCAGAAAGTGAAGAGGAATTAAAAAACCTGTTGATGAAGTTGAAAGAGGAGAGTGAAAGCTGGCTTAAAACTCAACATTCAAAAAACTAAGATCATGGCATCTGGTCCCATCTCTTCATGGCAAATAGATAGGGAAACAATGGAAACAGTGACAGACTTTATTCTCTTGGGCTCCAAAATCACTGTGGACAGTGACTGCAGCCATGAAATTAAAAGACACTTGCTCCTTGGAAGAAAAGCAATGACAAATCTAGACAGTGTGTTAAAAAGCAGACATTACTTTGCCTACAAAGGTCCATATAGTCAAAGCTATGGTTTTTCCAGTAGTCATATACGGATGTGAGAGCTGGACAATAAAAAGGCTCAGTGCTGAAGAACTGATGCCTTCGAACTGTGGTGCTGGAGAAGATGCTCGAGAATCCCTTGGACAGCAAGGAGATCAAACCAGTCAATCCTAAAGGAAATCAACCCTGAATATTCATTGGAAGGACTAAAGCTGAAGCTGAAGCCCCAATGCCTGATGTGAAGAAAAAAGACCCTGTTTCTGGGAAAGACTGAAGGCAGGAGAAGGGGATGATAGAGGATGAGATGGTTGGATGGCATCACTGACTCAGTGGACATGAGTTTGAACAGACTCTGGGAGATGGTGAAGGACAGGAAAGCCTGGCATGGTACAGTCCATGGGGTGGCAAAGAGTTGGACATGAATGAGTGACTGAACAACAACAACAAAGGCAAATTTTTATATTTTAGAAGAAAATTAAATTACAGAAGAACAGAAGTCTAATATGCCAAAGACACTGTTTGATGCACTTAGTGTCAATACTTGGGGACACTTTTAAAGGCTTTTTTCCTACAAAAAAAAATGGCATTGATAATGGCTTGTACAGTAATATTTAAAATAGCAGGAAGAAAAAAATAAAAATAAAATAGCAGGAAGATGGAAACGCTTTCATACCATATTTTGGCAAACTGTTCTAAAGACAGCAAACACGAGCTCAGTGGGTTTTCCTTTGCTTTAAAATAAGCTACCAGTAATTCTAAACTAAGCAAAAATGCATTGTTCCTGGATGGAATATAAGCAGTCATACTCGCAAAAATGTTTTGCAATAAGTTCTTGGCTTCTGTGAAAATCCCAAAATAGCAAAGGAGAGACTAGAGTTTATTTTCAGATTTTATGACTGGCTTCCAACAATCTTTTATCAGTAGACCTACAGGCAAAATACTAGACACTCAGGATCAGATTCCATTCCTTGGTGTAAGGACAGAACTGTTGTGGATTGCTGTCCTTGGCTAGCATAAACCAGAGAATAACCACGTGTAAGATAAAATGCAAGACAGGCAGGAGGGATAGCTTAATGTTTTTGTTGTTGTTGTTGCAGGAAAAAAAAGAATCCATGCTAATACTATGGTGAAACTAATGCTTACTTAAGGATTTTAACATTAGAGTAAGACAAAAGATCAGACTTCAAAGAGACCAGATCTGTAACTTGGAAGTGAAGTCTTTTGCTGCATTTTGGCAATAGACTCTAACTTGGCATATGCTCAGTCGCTTCAGTCATGTCTGACTCTTTGCATGCCCACGACTGAACCCCAGCTCCTCTGTCCATGGAATTTTCCAGGCAAGAATACTGGAGCAGGTTGCCATTTCCTCTTCCAGAGGATCTTCCCAACCCAGGGATCGAACCCAGATCTCTTACACTGCAGACAGATTCTTTACCACTGAGCAACCTGGGGGAGCAACTTAGACTATACAACTATCTATTTGAGGACTCTCCTAAACCTCCAGTGGGAGGCAGAATCCTATCCTCCTGGAAACTTTTCGTTTTATAGAAAAGCGCAGGGAGAGCTCCCATGTATAGTTCACCTAGTTTTCCCTCATGTTAATGTCTTGTTGTTCAGTCGCTAAGTCCTGTCTGATTCTTTACCACCCCATGGACTGTACCACACCAGGCTTCCCTGTC